TCAAAAAAAATAAATAAAAAAATAAAAAAATAAAAATAAAAATAAAAAAAGTTAGCTGGGCATAGTGGTGCCAGCTTCTAGAGAGGCTAAGGTGGGAGGCTAACTTGAGCCTGGAGTTTGAGGTTACAGTGAGCTATGATTGCACCATTGCACCACTGTACTCTGGCCTGGGTGACAGAGTAAGACCTTGTTTTAAAAAATTTCTTAAAAAATTAAGAGTAAATATCAACTTTTAATCTTAGACTATGTCCTTTTTACTAGGAAACTAATCTCTAATTATAACCAAAACAGGCCTACTTGCTTTAGAAAACAGGTATGGCTACATTTATGTCTCAAATCTGTCTTAAGTAGGGCAGTTCTTATAAAACTGGTGTCTAGTTTTTAAATTTTACACGTTAAGTGCTTTAAATATACAAGTTGAGTATCCCTAAACCAAAAATCTGAAATCTTTAAGATGCTCCAAAATCGACATGACACACAAAGGAAATGTTCATTAGAGCATTCTGGATTTTCAGATTAAGGATGCTCAACAAGTATAACGCTAATATTCTAAAATTTTTAAAAAATCAGAAATCCAAAACACTTCTGGTCCCAAGCATTTCAGATAATGGATACTCAACCCATACCACATTTTTAATACTTTAAACCATTGTATATTGCATAAGAGATATTTTGCTATAATTCACTGTTTATTATACAAAAGTTTGATCAGGTTAAAGGATAAACTATTTCTTGAGTTTATATTCCACCCAGATCAATACAAAAATCTTTAAGATTATTCCATAATATACCAAAGGACCTCAACCTAAGGGAAAAACTAGTGAGCTGGAAATTTTCAAAAACACATACAATTTAAGTGATTAAAGTTTAGGCAAATCTTATTTGTACCAATTGCTTCAGAAATACTACAATAGTAGAGCTGAAAGAGATCTTGGCTGCCATCTGTTTAATCTCATCTCTCCTTCAGAAAAATCAGGGTTATGGTACTGAACTATCCTTTCCTCTCTCCCCTCAGGTAGGAAAACAAGGTCATAATAATTACTGATATTCCCATATTCCTTCACAGTTTACAAAGTATCTCTTTGTTTATTATCTCATTTGTTCCTTACAACTATTTTGTGTGGTAGACACAACAGTTACTACTACCTGGATTTTTTTTTTAAACAATAGATAAAACTGAGATTCAGAGAAACTAAACAAAATTTTATCAGTTTTGCATGGCTCGTGGAGCCACTAGGTAATTTGAACCCAAGTTGTCTGATACTCTTTCCATCACTCATGCCGCCTCCCTGTAGATGAGATGATTTAAAAATACAACTTAAATTTGGGCCAGGCACAGTGGCTCATGCCTGTAATCCCAACACTTTACGAAGCTCAGGTGGGCAGATCACTTGAGGCCAGGAGTTAAGAGATCAGCCTGGCTAACATGGCAAAACCCCATGTCCACTAAAAAAATACAAAAATTAGCCGGGTGTGGTGCACGCCTGTAATCCCAGCTACTCAGGAGACTGTGGCAGGAGAATTCCTTGAACCTGGGAGGCGGAGGTTGCAGTGAGCCAAGATCGCACCACTGCGCTCCAGCCTGGGCAAAAGAGCGAGACTTCGCCTCAGAAAAAAAAGAATATGACTTAAGTTTTAATGAAATATAATTATCTGATTATCAATTCAATGAATCATTACATTAGAGTTTAGAATTCTGAACGGTGTAATAAAATAGTATTGCATGTCTTTTTAACTAAAAGTTTCTAATTCTGTTGCTGTTGGTTTTAACATTTTAATATCAACATACAAATTTCATAATGATTTAATACCTTTTTTACAATATTTCAAACACTTGAATTTTTGTATTAATATATAGCAAAAGAACATAAAAGAGCACCAATGTTTATCTACAAACCACAGAGCAAAAAAGTTTTAGAGGGAGACTCAGTGAAACTAGAATGCCAGATCTCGGCTATACCTCCACCGAAGCTTTTCTGGAAAAGAAATAATGAAATGGTACAATTCAACACTGACCGAATAAGGTAGGATATGTATTTCTAGACTTACTATAGTTTATTTGGGCGAATCCAGTTATACTTTTTAACATGCATTATAAATGGCATGCATTTATCTCAATTTGTCTAGTTTTTAAAACACTGAAGAATAATATAATAAAATACATATTAGATAATAAATGTAAGAAAACTTCAGTAAGCCAGATTCCACTAATCGGAAATGTAAGGCATAAAGCAGACTAGGATTTATCTTTTTATCAATGATGATGAAAGATTGCTCAAGGAAATAAATGACATAAACAAGATTAAAGGGGGATATTTTCTTTTCTTTTCTTTTCCTTTTTTTCTTTACAAAAAGCTTCAGCCTTTATTAAACAAAGGAGAAGGTAGAAGACAGATAAGGGAACAGGTCAGAACCCCTCCGGTTCCCCTATACATACACATAAATACAAACACAGACACACCCAAGTGAATGACAGAGACCATCAGGGATCAGGGGACAGACTGAAGGGCAGAGGGAGACAGCACCCAAGGGGGGATGTTTAATTCAAGAAAACCAATAGTTATTTGGCAATAAATAGATATAGCTTCGGAATTTTCAAATGTTTTTTTCTTCTCAGTCTGACTGTAGGTCAGAGACATCCACTTCCCAGAAATAATTCCTGTACTTTCATTTCTTAAAAAATTTTTTTCAGCTTATATCAAGATAACACTGGAAGAGTTACTTTACTGATAAAAGATGTAAACAAGAAAGATGCTGGGTGGTATACTGTGTCAGCAGTTAATGAAGCTGGAGTGACCACATGTAACACAAGATTAGACGTTACGGGTATGTCATACTATTAACCAAAGTATTATAACGGATTTAACTAGGAAGATTTAATAAGAAATGCAAATTCCAGCAGAGTATAAAAGTTGAGAGATTTTCCCTATATATAATCAGCTTTGGTTCTTTTTTCTTTTCCTGTCTGATAATAAATACCTAGGTGTCCAATTTGGTTAGAACAGGTTTTCTGAATCAACTTTTATGTGATCTATTTCAGCACGTCCAAACCAAACTCTTCCAGCTCCTAAGCAGTTACGGGTTCGACCAACATTCAGCAAATATTTAGCACTAAACGGGAGAGGTTTGGATGTAAAACAAGCTTTTAACCCAGAAGGAGAATTTCAGCGTTTGGCAGCTCAATCTGGACTCTATGAAAGTGAAGAACTTTAATAACTTTACCAACATTGGAAAACAGCCAACTACACCATTAGTAATATAATTGATTACATTTTTTTGAAATTAATCCATAGCTGTATTAACAGATTATGGTTTTAATTAGGTAATATAGTTAATATATATTTATAATATTATTTATCCTTTGACTCTTGCACATTCTATGTACTCCTCCAATTTGTGAAGCCTACAGGAAATCTGGGTATATGGATTTGTAACTGTAGAAGACCATCTTAAAATACAGGATTTTAACATTTAAGTCATACACATTTAACAATTACAGGTTATAAATTAGTATCAACTTTTTAAACACATCTAATGCTTGTAATAACGTTTATTGGTACTGCTTTCTAAATACTGTTTTACCCGTTTTCTCTTGTAGGAATACTAACATGGTATAGATTATCTGAGTGTTCCACAGTTTTATGTCAAAAGAGAATAAAATTCAAATATTTAAAACGGACTGTCTCCTCTTCACAAAAGTCTAGATCTGTAAAATGAAACTCCACTCAGCAAAACCTATGAATAACAAGTTCCAAAAGAGGAATGTTATATTCTAGAACAGTGTGAAGCTCACTTACAGCTCAGCCAATTCCTCTAGAAAACTGAGCTAGACTTTCCATGGTTTGCACTTCAAAGGCAACCACGATTAACTTAAATCATGAATGAATCTACCGAATTTGTGATTTTGTTTTAACCAAACAGGTCTCTAATTCTTCAGGATTTTTCAGTCTGTTATGCTCAAAGGAATAAGAATAGTCTCTAGAGGTCACCTGCTTCTCATAGTTAATGTAAATTTGACAGCCCTGTAGTCCCAGCTGCTGGGAGAGGTTGAGCTGGGGATCCCTTAAGATCAGGAGTTTGAGGCCATACTGGGAAACATAGGGAGACTCCCTCTCTTAAAAAAAAAAAAAAAAAAAAAAAAAAAAAAAAAAACTATTATGTAAATTTGAATACCTATTTATGGGTGTTTTTCCTCCAATAATTTCAATTTCAGATAACCTCTTACTTTAGAAAGCATAATTTTATGAACTGCTGAGAGTCCCAGTACAGGAAAGCCCAAATCCTTTTGTTAAAACTATTCCAAAGCTTTTTTCCCTCTCGGGCCGCTAGTTCACTGGCTGGCAGCCTTTTGCGAGGCCTCTCCTGTTCCTCTCATCAATGGTAGTTTTTGACCCTCACTACTGTGTGGCCCAGTTTTGCTTTTTATCTACACATAAAACAGCATTTATCGACATCATTCTACATCTCTTTCAGGGAAATAACAAAAGTGGCTTTCTGTTTTACTTTCAAAACTGTTTAGTGTTTTCTTTGCAGGTTTCCCTGCGGCCTTTGGACTGGATTCCATTTTATTTTCCTTTTTATCAACACGAGAATCCGTCCTGGTCTTACATCCTGGAGGGTTTTTGGCTGCCTTAATTTACAGCCAAATTAATTTGGCCTTTTTTATAGCTGATTTACCAACCTTCTCCTCTTTGCAAAGCTTCTGGGTCAGATATGGGTCTGGGCTCCTGTTTTGGCCTGCCCTTTTCGCATAATCACCGCAGGATTTTTCATCTATTTTTATATTAGGGGGGCAGGAGAGTGGAAGCTACTTCCAGCAACAGCTCTCGGTTAATAACCAGTTTCTGCAAGTAGCAGCAGCAGCAGCAGCAGCAGCGTGGGGTCACGGTTAGGCATTTGGGCTTGGGCATCCAACAGACTTGGCCCCAACTTTCAGTGAATTATTTCATTTATCAGCGTCTCGGTTTCTTCAGGCCTAAAATGAGGACAAAAATACCTACCTTTCACGGAGGTGGATGTGGAGACTAACAAGGCGATAAATGTTAAAGGTATTCGAGAAAGAGAAGCCCGTGATAATGAATGATACGATTTTTAAGCCCACAGCCAGGTTATTCCCAGAAGTTGGCCCTCCGCACCCGACCCCCGCAACCCGCAGCCCGCCTCGGGCAAAGGGCCGCCCGGGCCCCTGCGGCGCAGCCGCGCTGAAGTAGCTCGCAGCCCTGGAGGAGCCGGGGGCTCGCGCAGGCGTCAGAGCCGGGCAGCGCGCTCCGCGAGGGCAGCGCGCTCCGCGAGAGCAGCGCGCAAGCGCCGCGGCCCCGGGCGAACGGACTGACGGTGTAGTGCAGGTCCACCATGGCTGAGGCGTCACGGTGGCACCGAGGGGGTGAGGGATGCTCTTAAGGAATGGGAGGGACAGGGGCGATTTGGCAGTTCCAGACACCCTGAAAGGAACTCTGCGGCCCCAAATTCAATTCATGTGAGAGATGTGACTGCCGACACCTTTTTTCTTTTCTTTTTTTTTTTTTTTTGAGACGGAGTCTCACTCTGTCGCCCAGGCTGGAGTGCAGTGGCACGATCTCGGCTCACTGCAAGCTCCGCCTCCCGGGTTCACGCCATTCTCCTGCCTCAGCCTCCCGAGTAGCTGGGACTACAGGCGTCCACCACCACGCCCGGCTAATTTTGTAGTGGGGGGGATTTGTTGTTGTTGTTTGTTTTTTGGGTTTTTTTTTTTTTTTTTTAGGAGAGACGGGGTTTCACCGTGTTAGCCAGGATGGTCTCGATCTCCTGACCTCGTGATTCGCCCGCCTCGGCCTCCCAAAGTGCTGGGATTACAGGCGTGAACCACCGCGCCCGACTTGCCGACACCTTTAGCCCTCACAGCCTCCCCTGGAGAAGCGGAGAGGGACAGATGGTCCCATTGCACAGACGGGAAAACTGAAGCCCTGAGCGTCGTGGCGCTCGCCTCTTGCCGAAGGCTTGAGCTGGGCGTTGTCACCTGCTGTCGAGTGACGGTCGGTCACTAGGCTGGTCTCTAAAGTCCTTTGTTAATCTCGGGAGTCGTGACCTTGACAGAATTCAAGCCAGGGTGCTTTCTCCCTCTCCAGCAGAAACCAGCCTTCCCAAGAAGCGGTGTTGAGGGGTGGAGAAAACGGTTAGGACAGATGAGAGGTTTAGCTTGTTTTGTATTTTGCTTTTTCATCTTAGGACTGTTGAGAAGACATCATGATATAAAAAATGTTAGTGGCCGGGCGCAGTGGCTCACACCTGTAATCCCGATACTTTGGGAGGCCGAGGCGGGCGGATCACGAGGTGAAGAGATCGAGACCATCCTGGCCAACATGGTGAAACCCCATCTCTAATAAAAATACGAAAATTAGCCGGGCGTGGTGGCCGGCGCCTGCAGTTCCAGCTACTCGGGAGGCTGAGGCAGGAGAATCGCTTGAACCCGGGAGACGGAGGTTGCAGTGAGCCGAGATGGCGCCACTGAACTCCAGCCTGGCAGCAGAGCTAGACTCCGTCTCAAAACAAAAAAAAAATTGTTGTTAATAGTATATAGTAAAAAAATTCTCCCCGCCTCGTAAAGCTGAGCATTGAAAAATAGCCATAAGCTATTGGAGCTTTCCTCCCCGCAGTGTAAGGACTAAAAGTGGTTGTGGTTTTTCCATTGTTGTCACTTAATAAACATAAATTACATAATAATGTAAAGAAAAATTTTGTCTTATATCTCACAGGGGCTTCGAAACATAAGCTGCATTACAGAAAGGAAGTAGAAATTACCACCACACTTCAGGAATTGTTACTCTACTTTATTTTTTTAATAAACCTATGTATATGTAAGTACACAGATATAAAGGTGTTGTTTGTTTGAACTAAGAAGTTAAAATGTGGAGATGAAAAATAAAACATAGACTTCGAAACCATAGGCTGTCAGGCTACTAAAACTCAAAATACAGTGACACCATTTAAACATAATCTTAGATTGATTTAGATTCATTTCATTTAGAAATTGACTATTTCCAGTTCTTAAAAGGCAAAATTTTACATCACAAATGTAAGAAGCTTCCATAGTCAATATTGATTTAATTTTAATGATTCCTTTCATTTGGCAGTTCTGTCTTGAACATAATTCATCCCTTCGGTTGGCAACTGCGATTTGATTTTGTTTAGAGTCATATAGACACATCAGCTGAGTTTCATAAAATCAAAGTACAAATGAGGCCAAAGTTCATCTTGGTGTCTGCCATTAGCATGGTTCTTTTCACTCACCTATTGCAGTTAAAAAAAATACGTTTGTGCTGAGTCAATGCAAATAAGGAGGACTGGGAAAGCATCTCAACCTGCATTCCTCCTGCCTGTGGGTCAATAGCATTGGCTTAATATGCAAAGAGGAGTATTAAAGAGCATTTGTCTTTATGGCACCCAACATACAGTAGATGAAAGCTCACTGGCAGCATTTATCTCATGTTGGTACGTGCTACACACTGGCAATTGTATAGCAATTAAATAATTAATTGGTGTTGTAGAGGTGAGTTTGAGTCTGCTCTTGATTGAAAAGACAACTATAAAATTAGCCAGGTGTGGTGGCACACCCCTGTAGTCCTAGCTACTGGGAAGGCTGAGGTGGAAGATTCCTTGAGCACAGGAGGTCAAGGCTGCAGTGAACTGTGATTGCAACGACTGCACTTCAACCTGCGTGACAGGCTGAGACCCTGTCCCAAGAAAAAAAAAAAAAAAGATAACTGTAGGCAACTTTATAAATTAAGGTATCTTAGACGGCTTTATAAAAGCTTAGTTATGAAAACTACATGCTTACTACAGAATATTTGGAAAATATAAAAATATAAGTAAAAAGATCATTTATAATCTCATTATTCAAGATTTTAAAGAACACTTTTTTAATACAATAAAGCAACCTGAATCTCCATTTATAATGTGATTTTTTTTTCTTTTCTTTTTTTTTTTTTTTTTTTTTTTGAGACAGTCTTGCTCTGTCACCCAGGCTGGAGTACAGTGGCTCACTGCAACCTCCACCTCCTGGGTTCAAGCGATTCTCCTGCCTCAGCCTCCAGAGTAGCTGGGATTACAGGCCTGCACCACCACACCCGGCTAATTTTGTACTTTTTTAGTAAAAATGGGGGTTTCACCATGTTGGTCTGCTGGTCTCCAACTCCTGATCTCAGGTGATCCACCCACCTCAGCCTCCCAAAGTGCTGGGATTACAGGTGTGACACCACGCACCGCCACTAGTTAATATTTTTAAAAACTCATCGTGTGCCAAAACACAGTTTAAAATGTTCTATGTGCATCATCTCACTTCTCACAACAAAACTAGGAGGTAAGAGATACTATCCCTGTGATGGGACTCACACCCTTATCTGTCTGAATTCAAAGTCCGTATAATCTTAATCACTCACAGTACTATACTGCCTTAGTCTCATGTAGAGAAAAAGTCAACTTGCAGAATAGTGTGTATAATGTGTCTTCATTTTTGTAAAGATAAAATTATTTTCTTTATAAGTGTGTATGCATAAAGAAATATCTGAAGAATATTTGCCAAACTAATTCTAGAAACTACATCCTACTTTTTATATTTTTAGTTTAGATTTTTTTAATTATTACTTTTATAATTAGATAAAATAAAGTTTAATTTTCAAAATTAGGAACAAAATATAACATGTTTAATCCTGATAAGCTGAGTTTTTAAATGTAAATTATTAAACAAAAAATTCTTCTCCTTAGTGACTTTTGGGATGGTAAACCCACATATGTATTACTTAAACAAGGTTATGTCATCTCTATTTTTGGACACTTCTGTGCCTGGTGAAGAAAGAACCAACTTTAAGTCTATTCGCAGCATAACTGATTTTTGGAAGGTAAAGTATCTTGTGACTGTGGATGAAGTAGATTTAGGTAGTCCATGAACCCTTGGCATACATAGTGGGCACTCAGTGAATATCTCTTGAAGGAACAAATAAAAATAAATGTCATTTCTTTAAACTATTAGAAACAACCAGCCAGTAAGTGTTTATTGAGAGCCTGTGTTCTCAGTTTGATACTATTCTTGTAATTTTTTAAAAATTGATTTTTTTTGGCCGGGCACGGTGGCTCACGCCTGTAATCCCAGCATTTTGGGAGGCCAAGGTGGGTGGATCACCTGAGGTCAGGAGTTCGAGACCAGCCTGACCAACATAGTGAAACCTCGTATCTACTAAAAAATACAAACATTAGCCAGGCATGGTGACAGCCACCTGTAATCCTGGGAGTTGGAGGTTGTAGTGAGCCAAGATCATGCCATTGCGCTCCAGCCTGGGCAACAGAGCAAGCCTCCATCTCAAAAAAAAAAAAATTTGATTTTTTAAACGTTCTCATTTCATTTGTTAAATAGAAGACTTGCATCTTATGTGAGGGTTAGGATCTAGTCTATAATTGTGTATAGTGAAATTTACTTTGAAAAAGTTCTTTAATTGCCCAGAAAGTGTAATATATGTGGTTTTGGCATACAAGCCTTTACTGTGTATATGTGTTATGGTAAGGTACAGTATATAATAAAACGTACATATAAGAATATAATTTCATGGTGTTTTTACTTATGTAAGGGAATCATTCCTTCAGCAGTGGAATAGACTTGCTTTTTCCATTACATTTAACATAGCAACATGCTCACATTATGAGGAAAGAACAGTTAAGGGGACAGCAGTTTCAGCTCTCCCAGGTCACAAAACCTGGCATATGCACATGGGGGCATATAAGGACAAGGCAGAGAAGGCTTCCAGTGGTAATGACAATTTAGTTGCATTTTGAAGCATGAATCAGGGATGGGTATTTTAGGAAGAAGGAACAATATGTTCTGTAAGTAATTCTACATGTGGAGCTATGTTTGGTATTGTGAGCATATGGAAGATGAGGTAGAAAAGGCCAAAGTATGAATTGGACAGAGGTCATATCATGAATGCTGTGCAGGAATTTGAAACTTACCAAGGAGACAGGGTCATTTCCTGAAAGAGGGCAAGTGTGAGATGAGGGCTAAATGATCCTAGATGGTTGGTTTAGGCTAGGTGAAATAGGAAACAATAATAAAAGAAGTGGAGGTCACCCTGCCACTTTGTTACTGTGTTTTCTGAAGCATGTTATGTGGACAATGACAGAGAAGACAAAGGGAGGAAGTAAATGAACCCTGGGCTTGGGATCTCTTAGAACGATC